CTACTCGACATTCTTTTGAAATTTATTTTTTATTACAATTATTGTATGATGTGGTAAGGCAGAACGTCAAAATTACCTACAGAATTGGCCAAAAATATGGATTATTTAGGCAATCATCCTCGGTGTCGAGTCTCAAACTTACTTTTGGAAGATTTAAAAAGTGTTGTTTTGTCATGGGAAAAGTCTGGCATTTCCATATTACGACAAGTATTTGACTATATAATCGTTACAATTTGTCAATGCATTCTGCATTTCTTTGTATTGAGCTAGGGCGCAGGCTTCCTCGAGTGGAAGCCATTTGAATGCTTGATGTTCGTGTGACATTTGAACAGATTTATCGTTGTTCAATAATTCTGCCAACCAATAAATGACAACTTTTGGTTTTCCTTTCACTGAATATTTTATTTCTACTTTCATATCGTAGATCTTCAGATCGGAAGCAAACAGACCTGCCTCTTCTTCTGTTTCGCGTAGAGCAGTTTGCATATCCGATTCACCGGGATCGACGTGACCTATGATTGAAACTTATAAGAATGCCGGACACATCGTACTTGTTGAAGAAAATAGCTTTTATACACAAAGGAAGTGTTAACTGAAGTACGAATAAATATCGTGCGTTCAAAGGTCGAACGTTTTCCGGTTTACGGGGTTAGATTTACAAACAAATAAATGATTACGTTACAAACCTTTCGGAGGAGTCCAATGATGTTCACCGTACGAGACTTGCATCAAAAGATATTCAATCACCCCCTGAACCCTACGAAATATAACGAAACCGCAAGCGCGAGTTGTCATTGTTCAAAGAATTTAGTCACGGTTGTGATTTGTGATGCCATGCCAGAGAGAGAAACACGCTAGATACCCCTTCCACCAGCAAATTGGCTCGATTCCCCTCTGGCGATGCTCCGCAGGGGAATATCATGCTGTCCCCACTATCGCTGTTAGAGCGCCTGCATAGTGTCATGCCATGCACCTCACTGCAAATCCAATTAGATTAGGCGTTCGCGAATTATTTCCAGTGTTGCTTAGTGTTACTTCATCGGAATATATCTGTACACATTAATACTCAAATGAGCGCCGTGATTTAAACTTTAGAATAATATTTCTATGATCCCATTCATATCATATTATCGTGCTCAGAGTCACGACAAACTTACAAATTTACTTCTAATCGTAAAATTTTATTCGTAACACGTAACATCCTATTTTGAACGTGACCCTCACATAACTATATATACATATTATGTGAAGAATCTTTTCTTAGTCATGTTTTTTCATCTTACATGAACAGAACGGATATCTTTGCAAAAAAATTTAGGTTTGATTTGTTCTTAATAAAAATGCGAATAGGTAAATAAAAATAATGAAATATATATTGAGTGTTTTGAGTTTCTGTTGGTCTATCGCGTAGCGCGACGAGAAACTATTTAAAATGACGCGTACTTGTCTACATACTATCACGCGCATACAGCGAAAGGAATCTGAGTTGGGAAACAATGCGTGTTACCATTTTATTATAAACGTTTCTGCTACATTTTGTTGGCTAAATACCGATCACCAGAAAACACTTAGCAAAGCTGTATGTACGTTCCTATCTACAAACTGTCATGTGTCATATGTATCGCATTACTCGTATGTGTGTATTTGTGTGTATGCTTGTGGCAAGTGTTTTGTGTATGTGTGCGTGCAGGGCGAAGTGATGTAGCTGGATGGATGACGAGCCGAGAACCGGATTATAATCTCGGTATATGTAATCATTTTGTCCCTCTATCGCTTTTATTACTTACACAATAGAAAAATCACAAAAGCTTTTATTTCGTCGGTTTGATGCGACGTGCGACGAGGGTAAATACTCGAGCGGTTCCTTTTAGTTTTCGAATATTGTTTGTGATGTCATCCGTTCAGCTTTTCGGATTTTACTTGATTCATTTATCCAGTTTTCCTTTATCCACTCCTTTTCCCCTAAATCAGAGTTTCTCCCTCACTTTTTAATCATCGATAATCAATTTACATATTTCTTTATTTGACGAAGCAAGCGAGCGGCGAGCGAGCGAGCGAGTGAACGAACGAACGAACGAACAAACGAACGAACGAACGAACGAACGAACGTGTATTCGTGTATTTATATCGTTACAGTGGAGAATCGTTTCCTCGCCTACTTGCATCTTACAAGGATATACCATTAACGCTATCGAAGGATCTTATTCATTTAACATTAATTCGTAATCGCTAGTGGTAAAGATACAGTTTCTTTTTCTACAGTATCGTGTCTTTTTTGTTTCGTGTAACGACTGCGTCCGGAATTATACACTATGTTTTTGTCGACACGCGCCAGTCACTGCCAATGGATGCTGCATTTCCTCCTTTTCTTCATTATTGTTCCTCCATTCTCCCTCTTTTCTTTTATTCTTCTTCTTGTATTTTGTACAGAAAGGAATTAACGAAGGAAGCTCTTTCTTCGTAACACGGCGATTCTTCTGTTTCCTTCCTTGTACTATATTCGATTTTGTTATGTACGTAATTTGAAACCGCACTCAACGTTGTAAAAGTACTTACAACTTACATGAAGCTTTATCGGCGACTATTTTAAATGAAAATCATTTTCTCAGTTATATGCGTGTATGATCGGACAACGAAGGGAAATGTATGTTTGCGGCGATTCATACTTAAACGCTATACATTGTCAATCATAGCGTATATAGATCAAAAACTCGGTGTTCGCTAAGCTGTCTTAACCGAACTCGAGAAAGTTTTCACGGGCAGTCTCGATGATTTTTTTCTGTTTAAACAGACAGTTGGTCCTTTTCAATGACTTTCAAAGGACCATGCATCAGATAATTATACATGAATAACGAATACGTCTGTACTTTTTTTTTCATTATAAATGGAAAATTGAAAATCTTGCTTGTTTGAAGTTGAGAGGCACGTTCGTGTTCTTTTAACGCGTGTGTGTGTGTGTTATTTTAAAAACGTGAAAAAATCATTCGAGTTTTGGGTTTACTTAAATAAATTAGTCATTGCCCGTTGCACATAACACGTGGTCGATATTAAACATTAGGCAAATGTAAAAAAATCGCGATTACTCGAGTTTCGAACTTGAAACTCTCTCTCTGGTTTTCATTCCAATCTCCTTCTAGTATTTCCTCCCACTTCTTCAACTTCGGTCTCCATTGTCTTCTCTTCTTAATTTCATATTCACGTTCTTGATGTGAGGCTTCAATTATTTAGTTAATTTAGTATCGTTCGTATATTATAATTACGTATATACATCAAGTCTCTCTAGTCGCCTCTACATTAATTGTGTACAATAATTCCTAATTTTAAGTTCATTCAACCGCGAATACATCTGCGAATAAAAGGATTAAATAGCGCAATAGCAAATAGCCAATTACGATACTTAAATGTAAACCTTACACAGTATCCTTCGTAGAAATAACAGATCTCGTTTAAATCGACGATGCCGTGCGCGTGTGCATTTAACATTCTGTTTAGGTATTATTCCGGAGTTGTTCTAGTCTTTTTTCGTTTTATCCCTTTCTTCTTTTTGGAGCAAAACGTACTTGCATCGTATATACTCGCGCGAGAATACGAGTAAGATTTGCTCGATGATAATTCCTTACGTTAACGATAATTAGTTAGCTCCTCTCTCTACAGTTTTCTTTGTCACGTTTAACATTGTGTTGTAACATTATATTGTATACTATTAATAAAAATAAAATACATTTATGACGATCGTGATGAATGATATTAATAATAATAATTAATAATAATAATAATAATAATAATGAGGATGCTGATGAGAACGGGACGACGATGACGCGCTTTTAATTAATTGGCTGACGCCTATAGTGCTGCATAGTTTTAAACTTATAATATAGATAAAAAAGTAATGTATCGTAAAAATATTCGAAAAGGTAAACGGTTTCGGCGCGTGTTATACTTTTAGTTCGCGCGTATATATGTATGTATGTATGTATGTATGTATGTATGTGTGTAAGTGTGTAACACGATTTGAAACGGTTGAATTTACTTCAACGAAGTTTTCAACGAACGACGAGTGTTTTTTTCTTTTCTTAAAGATAGATTTCGTTTACGAGTAGAAGTCTACAGTGTTTCCTTTACAGGTTTCGCGAGTAGTTTTGATCGATTATGTACAAACAGACCGCTTGTCTTCGTAAGTGCTTCTTACACATATATAAAACGTAATTAGAAAAAGACAAACTTGTTGCTAAAAGAAAGACTTGCGACTCGTTTCGATATAGGTGTTCTGCACAATGCGCGCTCGATCGAACGTCTCTGACCTCGTTTTGTTTACGGGTACATTATATTATATACGTCTATCTCTTTTTCATGGTACATTTCATTTTCTTCGACTTCCTCCACGCTACTGATGTCCTATCATTGTTCCGTGATCGTTCGTTAGAGAAGAAACCATTTTATTATATTTGAATACGCATCATTAGGCACAGTTGAAATACAACTTGGTATCTTCGGAGATATTTCTTTCAGCAAATTAGAGAGAGAAAGAGAGAGAGAGAGAAAGGGAGGGAGAGAGAGAGAGAGAGAGAGAGAGAGAGAGACAGACAGACAGACAGACAGAAATTGTAAGGACAAAGAAAGATCAAGTACAGAAGACGCGCATGTGGGATCGGTTTAAGTAAAACAAATCGGATATTCATTTTTGTTTTCGACATTGCGAACAGACTACCACAACGTTAAAAAGTCGTTCCGAATAGAATAATACTGTAAACGTAAAAGCGTTCCAACTTGATGGTGATCGTTCTTACTCGATTGAACAGAGTACGACGGGAGAGCATGACTCGAGCAATTAATTAGTATGAATAACGTCCGGTATCATCGGACGTTGGTTTTTGCGTGTACCAACAAAAAGAATTATTATCGCGATCGTGGTAACAGCAGCTTGATGCGCGATACGGTCGGTTCATCCATCAATTTCTTTTTCTTCTTCCTGCTCCCCTCAATATGATCAACATCCACGATTATTCCCAAATCTTCCCGTTCTTCGCGTGGAGACGAATTCAACAAAGAACCGACCACCTGATTTCGCTTTTGGCACTCGAGAGTATTCGGATACACGCGTTCACAGATCACAGTGTCTATCTTTGTTAAAGGCTTTCGATGGATCGAACGGAACGACTACGTGACGCGCGCGTAGATCAACGATCGGTGATCGGTGTGTGGTCGATTTCGGCCAATATACTTTCGCTCTTCGACTGGGACGATTGGGGTGGACTGTTCGGTCAGACGAAGATTTCCCGGGCATCGGAATCGGAATCGTCGGAGCTGGGATCGTCGGAGCAAGCATCGGTTTCGATTTCGGTATCGGTATCGGTATCCGTATCGGTATCGTCGACAAGGTGAAGGTCCCAGAAGAAGGAGAGACGTTGGTCGTCATCGGTAGCCGTGAATCCGTGTCATCGATCACGAGAGCGTTATGGATTGGCGCGTGCGGCTAAGGCGCCCGTTGTCGCCAGTCACAGTTTGAGCTCGTTCGCTATCTTACTAGCAATGTTTTTGAAGCCGATCGAAGTGCCCGAGATCCGTTTGAAGCGTACACCGTTCAAGGACAGTCGTGGCAGTTTACAGACCTCGATTTCCCATTGTACCTGACTATCCGTCGCGGCGTCACCATGCGCACACAGCAGGAGGAACCTCTCGCGTTGCTCGTACTGGCACTTGTTGGCGTCCAGTACCTAAAAAGAGTCAGTTTAATGTACCCTTGACCAGCATCTTAAGTCTAATGGTCTTTGAGGAAACGATATTTGTGTCATTATACTCCTTTCCTTCTTTACATCCTCTACTATGATCGATAAGAAATAGTTTGATACCTCCGCGCTTACATGTTAAAATACAGAATGATTCATGCAATAGATAATCTTGTATTTGATAGCATTTAAATATAAACTGAGATCAGTTTTAAAGTGCGATTCTAAGATTTGTTTGCCAAATACCTTTCGAATTTCGGACATGATTTCATTCGGATCTCGACTACTTGTAGTTTTCATACTCCATGTGAAACGTAGACTGCGTGGTTTAACCTGCTCATCGTTAGTGGTCGCTCCGCTGTAACAAAACAATGTTTTAAACCTGTTCTTCACGAATTTACGCTACACATTTCGTACAGATATTCCTGTTTATCGTGTATTTCTATCGAGCGGCAGAAATATTTTATCGGCTATACAGTCTTCGCGCCGTTCGTTCCTCAATAAAAAATTTGTTTCATTAATCCACGGTAAATGCATATTGAGACAAATTGTTTAAAATTCAACGCGTGCATTCAAGATTCCGTAAGCTGTTGATCGTTGGATGCTTCGAAGGGCCAAAACGTAAAAACGTGGCATGCGTGCATACATGCAATTCCGTGTCATATCGCATACATACTATTTATAATTATTAAAACTAGTGAATAACTCGTTTCATTCATCTCGAGACCGAAAACGTGTCACAATTTTGTAATATTTCGCTTTCTTTCCTTTCGTTCCGTTTAGGCCTGATTGCTTTCAATTTATATACCTAGAAATTCTTAAAAGTATTCGATCACTCTCCTCTCTGTGCGTCACAATTAAAGAAGTCATAAGACGATTAAGAAATCAATCGTCTTAGTTTTGGAAGTTTGCGAAGACAGAAGAGGAAAGAGAAAGTAAGAGGGGGAAAGGAGCGAAAAGTAATTAAAGGGTTTTGTTTTATACGTTTTTGTAAATCAGATTTCTGGAGAAATATTATTGGATATTTTTTATTTGCACGAATAATCAATTGGAATTGTGATCGTTGTTTAACTAGTATCGAACAAGCGATAAGTATTGTATCGGTGATACTCAAACATTCATTCAAATGATAGGCATTATGCTTTAGTCTATTTTCTATAGCTACATGAAAACGGCAAGTGATAACGAACGGAAACGAAAGGAAAGAAAATAAAAAGGAATCTAAAAGAAAGCTGGAGATAAATGAACCAAGGAACTAAACGTGATAATTGGAACGCGTGGTATTAGAGAATCTAGAGTAGGCGATCTACCAGTCTTCGAAGGATCGCCTACGTCGCGTGAATCTAATAGTAATTGCGTGCAACGAATTAAAAAAGAAATACCGGGCGTTCAGTTACGCAGCGAAAGACGTACGGCTGTCGGTTTTAAATCTTCCGCAATGCACAAATAAAAAAAAGAATAATTTCCGTCGAATTCATTCGGAATTTCTATTTCTCTTTAGCATATTTTACGCTAATTAAACCCTTCCGAAGACACCTACGCCGTTCTTCTGCCTGTCGGCTACAGTAGCAACGTACCTCACTACTGGGTGCTTGGAGGGTACGGATGGGTCCATGGGGCTGAAATAACAAAACAAAGGTAGTTGCTAACAAACACTAAAACAATGAGAAATCATGAAATTAAATTCATTTAAGCACCACCATTCTATTCACCACTGCAAACCGCTAATTGCGAAACTTATGGCGTGTTCAACGCCCGGCACGGACCTGGAAACGTACTTCCGAGAAACAGTTTTAAGAGAAAATATTTCGGTACTATGCTTTCGCTCGAGAACTGTTTACCAATTGTTTCTAACTCAGTACCGGGCATCGCAGAAACATAGCCTCGATTAGAGTATGATGATTTTGTACCCCATCGGGGTACGCTGATTTGTATGAACGATAATAAATTAATGTTAATGATTACAAAATGTGTTACTGATTCATAACGATGATTATGCTCATCGCGATGTTCGATACCCGTTTTTCAACGGATCGGAGAGACGTATGTGTTTGAAGACAAGCCAGGTTGCACGCAATACACACTGTTTTTTTTTTTAGCAAAACAGAACACATATGCAACGAACACGTGGAACAATTTGAATTTTGTCTGTTTCGTTTGGTCGAATGGAGGATTAAGAAATAAATTGATACAACATGTACAAGGCAATTTTAACATATTTATTAATACGAAATTATTACTATTATTGCTTCTTAAAATTATTTTAAATAATATTTCTATTCAATTTCTATCAGCTATTTACTGCCCTCCGTATTATAAAGACCTAAAACGTATAAACGTCTCTGTAATAAGATTAAATAACTGTTGTCGATTATAAGTGACGTTCCTGTCGACGAGGCGACGGAAAGGATAAAAAGAGAGAAAGGAAAATAAAGAAGCAAATGTTAAACGATCCTTTGAACGTTTTGGACGGGAGAATCTGGAGTGCAGCAAAGAGCATTGACCATTTACATATTCGTGTGCTATAATGCTCGTTAACTCTTGCAAACGTATAAACGTTCCCTCTTTTTCTTTGCTTCCTATCTTTACATGGGTTACAACGCTCCAATCTATCATTATTTTCTCACTGTGCACGTGAATCATCGACTTTTTATTATTTTTCGTGGCCTTAGGAATGTTTTATTGATTTCTCTCTTCCGGTTCTGAAAATATTATTTACAAAATTTTCCGCATTCGTTTTATTTAAATTCGATTCTCTACTAGCAAATCATAGTTAAAAAGAAAAATATTCACAAGTTCAAATCATGAAGGGAAACCCAAGGCCACTTTTCATCCTTCCTTTTCCCGTCGTACTCTTACACCCTTTCACTCGTTCAGTCATTCGTACACTTTCTCTGTTTCTCAGCGTTCTGCACCACGCGATTACAAAATTGTTTGTTCTCCTTTCGTTTCTCTCACTTTTTCTAGATCACGTTATTTCTATCGTTCAACATGTTGCTGTACACATATTATATTGTTATACATATATCGATCAGGGAGACGCCGCCGCGAAGCTCGCATCGATCTTGTTTGAAAAACTAGCGAATCGGTTTCTATTTATCTTCTCTTTTTTTCTTTCTTTCTTGATTTTTATTTTCATAGTAAAATATGCATGAAATGTATAACGTCGAAAAAGAGGAAGGCACGCAGTTTCGATAACGATAATTTGGTTTTACGCAGGGTTCGAGATCGTTTTTTAAACAATCTAGTGTACAAGTCTAAGAGGATCAACATTTGCATTTATTTTATATAGGACACTGCTTTCTTTTTACATAGGAATCTTTTACAGGATATGAGTGTAAATGAATAATCGTGAAATTAAAAAACGATTAAGGATCACTATCGATTATTTGAGCTGAGATTTTCTTTCAAACGCACGAAGTTCGTTGGAAAAATAAACAGCAATTTCTTATTACCTCGCGATGACCACCAAAGATACATAGCACATATATCAATAAATTAATACAAAATAATCAATTATTAATAAATTGTCACGGCTTCAACTTGATATCGAGATCGATTCAACTAAGCGAAACAGAATAAAATCGTATCTGCTGGTCATTGCAAACAAAATAGCTCATCATACTTTCTTTCTTTTCCTCTTGCTGTGTTTTTATTAGTCGATTAGTAATGAGATCACTTTTGGGACGATATCGTACTGCTCTAACGTATAGAGAATCAAAAGTATGTCGTTACTATCTTCTAATGACAAATGTATAGCGATAAGAGAAAAGAAGAAGTGTACCTTCACGCGTCGCAGATTAGAACTCGAAATTGAGGAAGGTAAACGAGCGATTAAAAAAGTGTACGCAAAGGAAAGAATATAATGGAATGCCTTTACGATTTATAATCAGAGAAAAAAAAATGCATCGTCTGTATCGGATAAAATGCAGAATTAGGTACGAACGAAATCGAAAAGGGACACGCACAGTGATTTGAAAAAAAAAATGTCCGCACATTACACATTTGTCTAATTACAATAAATGATATTTCTCTTTGTAATTGAGCTGATGTTACTAAGAGAAAGAGTATAATGTACGAATATTCCTTTCATTGTGAAATTACAGTCGCGGAAACTGTGTTAAAGGTCTGATCGTCTAATATCGATTCTTTTATGATTAAATTGGGTCGACGTTGAGTAAAAATTTTACCTCCGTTTTCCTTATAAGTTGTGGAACAAAGTGTATTTTCACGTTCATACGGAGCTGTACAAAATACTTTACGAATGCGAATACTGTAATCACTATACTTGGGATTAATATATTTACATAAATTACACGCATATGTATACCACGATATACATGTACAATTCATAGTAAGAAAAAAAACTCATTTTCTCAGTCAGCCAGAAAGAATCGATATAAGAATCTTGTTATATAGATACTGCTAAATAATTAGTCGCAAAATATTCGGACTTGCATAGAGCTTCCGATATCGAATCGAAAAAATCAAACACAATCTTCGCGTTTTGTTTCCCGTATAAAAGAATATGCTGGATACAGGAAAAAAAATAAGGAAGGCTAATGTCATATCCTGTCCTTAAAACTCTTCGCATCCTGACATGATTAAGAGGAAAAACGAAAAAATATTTCTATGATGTGAACAGAAGCGACAATAACTGTTCAGATAGTATTTTTAGATCTAAGAATCATTCTTATCCAACATATTCGTAATGTGTTTACCGTTAAAGACTTGTGAGAATTTCTTTCTCTCTCTCTCTCTCTCACGCAATTTTAATCAAAGGCTATTTTATCAAACGAAAGGAGAGAGAGAAAGGCAGACAGAAAGAAGAGAAAAAAATTTAAAAAAAAAAAGAGTACGCTATGTAGGAAGTGGCGGTCGGCCGGTCGATCAGACTTTTAAGCTACACTTTGTCTGGTAAATTGTCTGTAAACGTGCCGTTGCTTGACATTCAGCGTGTGGCTCGCTCTCATTTCGGCTCGAGGGAAACAAGGCGAGACATCGACGTTCACTTAGAAAACCTGTCAACGGACGAAGAATTCTCATGTACTCCATTATTCTTGTTAAAGTCAAACTCGTTTGTGACGTTTGTTAGTACAATTATTAAAATACCACTTCCAGTGTACAATTTTTAGAGGACGTGTGCTGGTGTACATTCTCGGAATAAATTATATTACAAGGACTTTCACGCGGTTTTGAGTAACGTTGTGTGATTACTTTCGGCGAGAGGCGACGGATGATAGGATAAAAACATGTCATTCTCTCTCTCATTATTGTAGTTTCTCGCTATATTTTAGTTAAATTATATTTTAAAATTTTTCTCGTATTATATAATTCATTATCTGTCAATGTTGTCTTATTATTATTTTACAATTGATTTGACACAATAAATTTTATCATGTGAAACATCTGATTTGGTTTTTATCTTATACATTCTTCATGCGTCTCACCGTTTTGCTCTTTTTCTTCTTTTGTATCATTTGTTTCTTATTTGTGCTCTCTTTTACCTTTATGAGAGACAAACCTGAGAGGGGAAAGCAGCAGAACGAGCGTATCATAACGTGATTTTTAGCGAGCTCTACACGTATTATGAAATCTCGGTCGAGAGGGTTTCTGTTCGTGAACGTTCAACGGGATCGAGATATTGAATGAGACTGAGAGGGTGACTGATAAAAGGTTAACGATCGTTCCTCATTAAAATCTGGTTTTCATCCATAATCAATCTAGTTTAAAAAAAAATTAGCAGACGATTTTATCGAGAATTAATTTATGACGTTCGATAAAAAGAACTTCGTATAAAAACGGAAGTATTTCTATAGAAAATCAATTCTGTTCATAGTGATAAAAAAAAAAGTCCTGCGTCTAGGAAGTAATGAAATTCTAATCTGTTACTATGAAATCGCTCTCGAAGAAATCGTCTAAAAATTTCTCGCGCTGCGTCATCGTAATTCATAACGAGTCCTAAATAAAATCTAGATACTTCACGATGTTTATCCCAGGACGAGGAAAGAAAAAACGAAGCCGACGTGCATACACGTCACGACGATGGGTATACGTATAAAAATAGAAAAAGATTAAGTTATGTCCTTAGAAGATGAGTAGCGTAAGAGTGCACGTTTGCTATTTAGCTGGCAGGCTGAGTTAGGAAAAGGCACGATTTTTCAAAATGCTAAATTTTAACAGGGGAAAGGCGTCGGCAGCTCTTCTTTTTCTTTTTCATTATCATCGCGCATTTCATTTAAGGAAGACACTTCGCGTTCCAAAGGATTGTTATCAGAGGTTCGCGCAATAACTTCGTACTCTCAATAGTAGCGGTTCCTGGTTTCTTCTTCTTTTCTTTAAAAGAGTTCTCTTCTGATAAACATATGGTTCTCGAAAAGCCCGACGATACACCACAGAATAACGAAGCGATGAAATCGCGTTCACTTCTTTTTCATTTTTATTTCTCTTTCTCCGTATTCTATATGCTTCTCTTCTCCCCATCTTTTGTCTGTTTCGTCTCGTTTCACTCGTCCGTGTTTTCAGTCATCCAATAGGGATTCGTTGGCCGTATTTTCTCATTCTTCCAGGCCGATCGAACGCGGCTCGCCGGAATCGGCTGCGCGTTTTCGAGCGTTTCTCATCTCGTTGCGATGTACGACTTTAGATAATACTCTCTCTTTCATTTTTAATGGCCATCATCGTTTTTTTCGACGAAACTCGATCGATGCCTCAAGCTTTAATCGGTTCATGTCCTGTAGCATACAACACACCGGGTAATACACAATTAGTCCAAGAAGAATTTTAGCGATGCACCAATGGCTATGCTCTGTTGTGTCTCGGCAATCATTGGAATCGTTTAAAGAATCTCCGACGGACACACTCTGTCGTGTCTTATAGTACGTATCGACGATGCGTACAGTGACCATATCGTGAAAGTTGGAAAAAATGTTGACGACGAACGAGTCGTATTTTGTCTTATCATCATTATTATCATTGTTAATAGTAATTTGTCTTTTAGCTCTCGTTATTCTGTGGCCTTGCGTCCTTGCTTCCGAACCTCCTATTTTTTTATATTAAATTCCGCTTTATCATCCCTCTAAACGATAGTTTACTCTACTCTACCATTGCCGGAACACGCACTGCCACACTTATTCAGATCCGTAAAACGACGAGATATATCAAGGTTCCATGTACAAAGGTATTTAAAAAAAATTACTAGAGTCAAGGATATGCCTCGCTACAGTCGAGTCAAAAAAAGGGATGCACAATGAGTATGCGAGGTGGCCCGAACTTGAGCCTGGCCAGAACAGTTTATCACATTCGATTCGATCACGATGAACTCTTTAGGGTTTCTCTTGCTAGAGGAAAGCATTCTGAACGTTGAAAGCAAAACGCACGTCGACGGTAACGACGATCGCCGCGAATAACGGATACAAGATAACGGAAACACAACGAATACATTTCGTTGTTACTAACAAGGAAGATGACCGACGTTTAGTTGGCAAGGATACGATCCAATTTGACTATTCTCTAATGCATTTGTAAGGTATAAGAATACGAGTCGTCAACTTTACTGAATTTTCAGACTGTTTCGCTTATCAAATTTTCGTTATGTCTTGCGTTCTTTGTTGGCAACGAATCGTATTCTTGTATACAAAAGAGCAAGACCGGAATCTATAGGAAAGGAGACAGAGATAAATAATGAATGTGAGAGCGAGAGATAGATAAAGAGGCTATTAATGTTCGGTCGGAACTAAACAGGTGCTAGAAACCTTTTCAAGCAGACGTTTATGGGACAAAGGATTGGTGAAAAGTGTTCACGCAAAACGCGTCTTATTTTTCTCCCTTTTTTAAAACGGGAAAGAAAGAATGAAATAAAAAAAATTGGCGTATAAATAAACATAACTACGATTAATGATATCGTGAAGAAGCTACGTGTGTTTTGTGGCTTTCACTGATAATGGTCGCTGCTCGCTCATCGTTAATCGATTTTTCGTACTCGTATCGTTATCATTATTTCCAGTACATCGTTATCTTATTACATTACGTGTTACAATAGAAAAGTATACGTGATACGATATGTAGAGAAATGTATGTCGTATCGGTTTAATTAAAAGAATATTTTTCAGATAGTTACATAGTCATTGTGCATCCTTAAACAAAAACAGAAATTTTCATATCGCATGCAAAACGATAGATAGGTTCGACTCGTTTAAACTAATTGCAGCATGAATATATAATAGTAATATTTATATATATATATATATGTATAATATAGACGTGTACATATAAATACAGTCTCTAAAAAATTGTTCGTTTTACTGGATTATATTTCTACACATGCAAATCAAGGATCCACTGCAAAAGCTGCCGCGCTTTTTTAATGACTTTTTCACGCAATTTATGCGTATGTATTTTGGATAACCGATTATTATATTGCAAGATTAAATTCACTTGTATTGAGATCAAACAAACGACGGCTATTGCCCTTTGAATACTGATAATACTAATGAGGAATTAATGAGATAATGTTAATTTTAAAACTGTCAAAGTACATAGTATATTATGTAATACCTCAGAAAAATTGTGATGTGCATACTTTACGAGAATTTAGACATCAATATAAGAAGTAAATCTTGCTTAATTTTCGTCGGACTCGAACAGAGACTTCGAATAAAAATGAGATTCATCGCATTAATCGTGCAAAGTTAATCGATTATCGTCGTACACCGAAAATGCTAACAATTGCGACTGGACACTTTGGCCGAACGTTTAATCGCAAGCTAAAGATACATATATCTGTGGACGAACGGTGGTACTTTACAGTGGTAAATATACTAGCATGCTGTCAAATATACGAGAAAGAGACACGTTTCGTGTCAATTAAAAACGATAGGAATAACTTACCGTTTGGAGAACCTTGACGATAACTTGGAGAAGAAGGACGGTCTCGCTAGTGGGCTAATTGCATTTGTGTCCTGTGTATGCGTGTGACCCTGAAAAATTCATTGCATACCAAACGATAAACGTATCGCAATGATAATAATCATACACACGTATAACATGCACATAATAATCGCACCGTAAAACAAAAATATATTAATCTAATGACTTTCAAATTTAAGGACAAGGATATTTAATTATACATAGATCGGACAATTATAAATTTACTTAAAAGGACGAAACAAAATGACTGGTATTTTTGGGCAGCAACAAGTTAATTGAATGTTCTGATTGACTGGTACTAATAGAGATTACTGGTTAATGTACGAACCTGAGTATGATTTCGCTGAGCTCTATTCTGGCCAGAATGGAACGTGCTACGACTTGGAACATTTCGTGGAAATGCTGGTGTTGTAGGTGTTGCCAGTCTATTGCTTGGAGACACACCCAAGCTAATTGAAAACAAGACTTCATTTATACCATCAAATTAAAATTGCCAGTCAAATTATAAGGTATACACTATTGGTGCATATACGTATATACATATAATATGTTCCTATGTATATACATACATATAATAAATAATATTTTGCTTTGCCCGTGACGATTCTTTACTACAGATTTGTGCACTTTAAAACGATACATGAGACTCTTCGTTTCCGTTTCGTACATCGTTTCATTAGAGAAGAAGCGAGAGAACAGGATGCAAAATTAAAGTAAAAAAAACAAGAATAAAAAGATAAATGTGTATATAATCCTTCTCGCGGAAATTCTTTCGTGAAAGACTTCTTTTTTTATTTAGTGTGTTAGAAAGTGTAAATAATGCACAAGCTTCTACGTTTTGCAAAACAAGCTTGATCAGTCCGAGCTAAGGAAGCGCAATTTTAAACAAATTAATTTACTAACGATAAGTATACGTATACGCAATAGTATCGAGTATGGAATGTATGTGCATTTATTTCGGCATGCGTCCATAGAAAATCATTTATGAGTTTTAGTTTAGACAGAAGCACATTTTTATACCTATATGCTCTTTACAAAAGTATGAAATCACGGATTTTATTTACTTCGTACGTTGTAGAATAATTTAACAATTGGCGAGTTATACTTATTGTGGTCTCATACTTTTGTTGTAAAATGATTTACGGAAAATTTCCTTAGATTCAACAGCCACTCGACAAGACGGAGATAACCGTATCTAGATATGTACTCGAGATAATAACTATTCCTTGTTTTTGAGAAGATACACGGTGTAAATTAATGTGTAATTCTAGTTTCATCAAAATAAAATTATTATTACGATTTTCCGTTAATCGCATTTCATGTGTTCGTAATAGTGATTGACTGTAATTGTTCTGCGAGATCGGTGATTGGTGATATACATATAAATGAGAAAAAGGTGAGCAAAGTCAACGATTGCAATTACAAGAAACTAACATGTGAGCAGCCATGCAATAAAACGAAACAAAGGAGACTGATTAAATATGACCAGAAACTATCCTAGAGAACCTAATCCAGGACGATGATTTTAAGAAGTTTTGAAAGATTTTGCGAAGCATGAATGCGAAACAAATTATGAGTTACCCTAAGAGAGTTAATGGCCCAAGGAACAAGTCAATAAATAAACGAATGAGAACAATGTATCCGGATACTTCTTGCAATAGTCTAACACGGAATTCTACTGAATATTTTTAGAGATTATACTGAAATACATTCATCTCAATTTGTACCATAAACAAATGAGATCATTAATTAAGAGATTTTAGTGGAACTTTATAAAAATGAGTATCTATGTGTCGATGGAAACACCTTCGATTAAATGTATAAGATAGTTATTTCTGATCGTAACTTGAAGATCAGTTAAATGTAATGGTCCAGAAAACGTATAAGATGGTAGAATCGCACGTTAGACTATTCCGTTGCGTCTAGTCATAGGATTTGTATACAGGTATGATAAGGCTGATAAGGCTCTTTCGGGACCTGTACCTCTGTCTAAGAGGGTCAGCAGTGACGAGTAAGGAGTTGTGGGCGTTGCGTGGTTGAGGGTCCAGTAGTGAATGGTCGCTGGGGGGTACGCCACTTGAGGAACGGTGACCTGCGCTGATGCTCGCAGACTTGGTGTGACCCCGCGTTGGTCTAGTGCCCTCGCCAAGACTGTGTACAAAACTAATCAACAAACTGCCCGGCCCACTACTTCCTCTATGAACTTTTCCCTATTAGCTAATTCTTGTAGATCGTCTTTACGCTTCAATTTATTTTTTTGCGGCAAATAACATTTTAATATCCTTACTTGACATACTAATCTGCTCGAAACAATTTGAAAGTGGAAGAGATTCATTCCTACATGAAGTTCCTATATGCTCGAACAACCCTTAAAGATAGAATAGCAAATATATTAAATAATTTTTACGGTGGAACATGTTCCTCTACAATTGATTTCGCATTAGTTTTTAAGCTGTTCAATAAAATATACTTTCTATCCTTAAATTAAGGGTTAAATTCACGCGATAAGGACACACTTCGTTTGTAAGAGGAAATTAACAAACGAATTGATACATCGACGTTTCGGGCGTTAAACGATCTACGCTACATTGCTATAACTCTGTGTAGATATATACATATGGAGGTAACAATTGAATTCGTTGAAAAACTAAAGGAACAGGATGTGCTCTAAGGAACAGGGTAGGAAGGTTTAATGGTGAATGAAAAGTAACTATCTCGTGTTATCAACGATTCCAGAGCGAGAAACTCTACGAAAAGGGAAACAGAATACATGATGCTAAAACATAAATAGTATGACGTATGTATGATGATGTTAATGGCTCGTTTTTCTTATTTCTTTTAAATACACACACTCTTGTAAATCTAGACACACGCTTGTATAAAAACAGAGTATAGAGACGCATGTGGAGATGTAACTGTGGTATCATTTTTTAGCAAGCATTTGTAGTATGGTATGTATATATGAAAAACACATTTTAGTTTGGACGATTCTTTGTTTCGGTAAGATCTGTCAAGCCATAAAGAAAGTGATCTGCAATGAACGATTGGCAGGCAGCAGCCAAACATGCTAGAGCAACGCAATAAACAAAGAAATTCCCTGGGGCTTATAATGACAGATTTTTCTTTTCTGTTTTGTGATTTTGTTATTGTTCATATATGAAATTGCAGTTTTTCACAAACGAGGATTTTAATTGACACGCGGAAAATTAAAACAAGGTCAGTCATCTACGTGTGTTAGTAGTAAATTGGTACATATAACGAAAACACTGTATTTCTTTAGTAAGAACGGACACGCTGTGAAATTCATACACGATTACGAGCCGCGCGTATTCGTATAGTAAACAAGTTTATTTCTTAAATCGCCGAATACTGAATCATATTTGTTTAATTACATTGCACTTGAGAAATGTGACTCAAGAACAATCGCGTGTTCAATAATAATTTTCGTTATAACGCAAGATATATGGATTTTTAATAGTGTATCCTCTATCAGATTCAGTGTCTGGTTTTTGTCGGAGAAAGAGACTTTTGTAAAATCGTACTTATATTTATTGCAAGTAAAATTCACAGTTCGTTTTAAAATGGATATTGTATCTGTTCTGAGAAATAATTGGATATCACTATACCTGGGTGCGTCGTTGGTTCTTTCGGTAGACGAGGACGTCTTCGCTTGATCATAGGAGATGGTACTACGTCGACCAACAGAACCAGGGGCAGGTGAGGTTAAAGGCCGACCACCACCACCTACCCCTGCGTTCATCGTGTTGCTCTTGCCTGCCCATGCCCTATCACAGGCACTTGTACCCACGCCTAGAATGAACATTGTCACTGCAAGCCTCATTAGATATAGTTCAACACAAAACAAAGCAGCATAAACTTTACTGAAGTATAAGACAAACGTGGTAACAAATATTGATATATTAAACAGAATAATAATGATAAAGGGGATTAAAATGCATGAACGATTGTGAAACATCGTATCCGCTTCCTGTTAGTTTTCTTGTACGCTTTAGTCTAGGTGATAGTATCTTGCAATTGCAGAAGGCAATTAAAACTAGAGCCAAAAGGAAGGCAAATACAATGTTAAAATTATTTACAGAAACAATCGTACTTTTAACTCTAGATTAACGACAGTGTGTAGGTGAAATTAAGTCGCTTGTTCATTCATTTGATGCGTGAAATCCTACGACAATGTTATCAAGTAATAATACGAAACTACAAATATCGACGATAATCTAGAATTAATGCATAACACTTATATGTTTTCTCTATCGAGAATAGTAAGGGTATAATACGAATTAGGAGGCACAAGTAATGTAATGTAAAAATATCGAAAATGGTGTATAATTAGAAATGAATAACGAGCGTAAATAACAAAAAATTAATCAAGTCTTTGATGGAATTAGGATAGCAATCACGACAACCTTATCCAAAGCAGATACATAAATAACGTTTGCTTAAAGCTTTAGACAAGTATAGCATCGCAAAAAGAAAAAACAATTGGACAAATATCTATTATTGATGTGTATATATATAATATACATATAAAATTGAGTTACGATATAACGAAAAGAAAACTCACTAGTATCTAATCGGCCAGGACTGTTCTTGGGCGCCGAAGGTCTGCTCGCAGACACGCGAGCACTGTTCTGTTCCTTGATCGTGGCCGCGTCCACAGTGTTCTGCCGCTTAAAATTACTACCGCCGCTTCCGGTCACGGTCCCACCAGTCGTAGTCGTCGTATGATTATGGTTCGTTGCATTCCCTGGACTCGGTGCTCCTGCTGCCAAAAGCAAATCCATCTTTTACCAAACGTGAATTCGAACAAGACACGCATTTTCTACAAGCTGTCAATCCCTTAGCATCGAAAGTTCACGCTGAAACACGGATTGATTTAGCCCGAACGTCGCGGAAATATCGTTGCAGCGGCGGCAACGAACGAAGCAGTCGACGGATTTCAACGTCGGTGTGCTGACAATCCGAATAAAGGAACAGCTGTGGGCAAGTTTTAGGAGCGGAACGCGAACACGGGACACGGTTAGGGCGAAGAGACGAGAGGGCGTTCACTTACGAAGCGTTTCAAGACCGGACGATACTCGTCTACGTGGTTTTGGATTGCTAGCGGAAATACTTCTGTGAACACCTCTGTGTGACGGACTTTGCACAGCACCGCCCGTACCTCCTCCGCTTCCTCCTCCTCCACCACCTCCGCCGCCACCGGAACCAGCCTGCGGTGGAATGTTGCGCAGCGACAATGAACTGCCTGACCGCGAGCCGTCGGATTCGGGCTGCGGAATTTCATAGTTCTTTTATCAATTACTTTCGTTACGTTAATCTATTCACTATTCATGATTCGTGAATCGTACAGATTTAACCTGTTATTTAGATGCAATAAGCCAAACTTCGACCATATACAAAAAGTAATAGTAATCCGATAACAATATAAAGTGCATTAAGAAGCCAGTGAAATGAGTCGAGTTGCATGAAAATAGAAAATGAAGTTGAGAATTTAATGGATTTGAAGCTCAGACTTTTTGCAATTCCGATAAAAAAAATTGTTAATTTCTGATCTACTCACATCGGTTATTTTTCTTCCTAAGAGTAAGTACGTGGCGAACACGTCATCGTACTTTGCTTGTGCCAAGGAGTCCTCTATCTCGGTCCTCGTATACCCCATACTAACCAGGGCCTCTAAAACAAACAGGTGTAGCGGCATAGTCACAACTAGAAAAAACAGCTGCAATAAGTTACACAACATTGATTTACCTGACTCGATCTCACCGATTTTATCATACTTCTATCGATGCAAAAATAATAGTATCAAAACAAGCACGGTGCTATGCTGTGCGAAAAAATGCGTTCGCGGACGCCTCTTACTATTATCGCCGTTGCTGCTATGGTATATCATTCATTACAAAGGTTAAAATTGTAGTAAGATCGTCCAACGTTACTATTAGTGCAGAAAACACAACATCAAACGACCAGCCATTGTCCGTTCACGAGATTTTGGAAGTTCGATAATGAGTAGCATGTTTCCAATATGATGCGACAATAGGATGGTCGTACATCATGCAACTTTATAACACACATAGAAACAATAAATAGTAAGTGTTATGTACATACTGGCAGACTCACCTATCCTCTTGTGGTCTTTGTAGTCGGGTTCGGGTTCTAAGTACGGTTTCAGTTCGTCGTCATCGTATCCCATGTTCATCCATTTGTCTTTCATAATAGTCTACAACCAGATGCAGCATTTTATTATACCTAACGAATTCGAATTGCACGTTATGAATTTACAAGCTTGTCGGAATGTTACCTCTAGGGAGGCCCGTTTCGTCGGGTTGAGCACCAAAAACTTTTTTAACAAGTTCTCGCAGTCTGTGGACATGTAAAATGGGATTCGATATTTTCCACGTAGTACTCGTTCCCTCAGTTCCCTCAGCGTCGAGCCGTCGAAGGGCAGTGAACCGGACACTAAAGTATACAATATTACTCCCAACGACCAGACGTCTACCTCGGGTCCGTCGTACTTTTTACCTGAACGACGAATAAGAACTATTATCATACTGCCGCTAAAGGGGTATATAAGGGATATGATGTATATGGGCATGCGTACCCTGAAAGAGTTCGGGCGCCGCGTAAGGTGGCGACCCGCAGAAGGTGTCTAACTTATTGCCCGGTGTGAACTCGTTGCTGAAACCGAAATCGGCAATTTTGATGTTCATCTCGCTGTCCAGTAACAAATTTTCGGCCTTCAAGTCCCTGTGAATGATCTTCTTCTGATGGCAGTATTGCACGGCAGAAACGATCTGCCTGAACTTCGCTCTTGCTTCCTTCTCTTTCATTCGACCGTGCAAGACCAGGTAGTCGAAGACCTCGCCACCGCTGGCGTACTCCATTACCAGGTACAGTGTCTTCTCGGTCTCGATCACTTGGAAAAGTTTGACTATGTTTGGATGATCGAGCATCTTCATTATTCTCACTTCCCGGAACAACTGCAATAATCCGTATTCTCCAACATCGATTGACAAACATCTTCGATTAACTAATAACAAGGCTGTGAATTTTTATACAAAATAAAACATTTACGATATTACTTTAAGAATACTTATGATTTCTGCACATTCAACGTTTTTTACAAACTCGCAGACTACTAATAACCACAGACTACCATTTAATTTTCATGGGAATGAAATAAATTTCTTTTGTTTCAGTGAATTCAGATTCTCGTAAGATCAACTTATTTTTAAATTTCTATATATTTTAGTTCTTTACCTTTTGGAGACTACTGGGGTTCAACTGAGTCTTGTCAATAATTTTGATGGCCACCTCTTTCCCGGTAGGTACGTGCTTGGCAAGTTTTACCTTGGCGAAGTTGCCTTTGCCGATCGTTTTGAGTAATTTGTACTTGCCGATGTGGGGCTCCTCCGAGGTCCGACTCCTGGACGAGAGCCGACCGCCGCTACTCGACACTCCCACGCCATCCCCAGTCTGCAATAAAACCAAACGGTCTCTCATTAACAAAAGTGATGCTAGTGAAACTAAATTGTGGATCCACTACATATAAAATCACATTCGGTCTGTAATCAGATTAAAGTAGTACGCCATTCATTAAAAAAAAAGAAAAAATATATTTCTTTGAGAGAAGAACTTGAATTTCTTTAAACGAATCGACGCGAAGACATGAATTGACTGTGTGGAACAAATGCCAAAATGCGTCGATTCAATTTAAAAAAGAATTGAACATGTGACCACAGAAATGATACTTTTGATCGAATCGCTCTCCCGTGATCTGGTTGCTTGGAATTTGATTCGATTTTACGATCGCGCGTACCATGTTTAATTTAATCGACGCGATCACATGATTGCACTTCGTATTTCCAGGGACACGCGCCCGTCGACGGAGTTAATTGAACCTCGTTAAACTTGTATTAGAAACAAATATCGTTACGTTTGAAACGCTTTCCAGTCTATCGTTGCCATCTCTGATGCTATGTGATTTCTTATTCCTAGTAATAATAAAATAAATCTATTCGTCGAAAGACATTAAATTTCTATTCCTATTATTATAAATGAACAGTAGGTAGGACAAATTTATTAAAGAAGTACGACGATTATATCGATAACAGCGAACTAATCAAGTCGCACTTTCATTTTATCTCTGACGAAGAAATAGAACTGTATTTTAGACAACGATGAAAAAATAGAGATTGCGTAAATTAGGTTGATTCCTTTAGAAGACAATTACCCGCGTATGGCCACGAGTGACCATCTTGCAAGAGGTAGCCGCAGCAACTTTCGAGGCCGCCAGTTTGCTTGTTCTTTCTTCGACGTTTTGAAAGACAAATCTATAAACGATTTCGATCACTCCTGCGAGGTCTCGCCCACTACAGGAACACTTTCTCCTTTACTTCCACACAACGATCGAAGTTACAAAGAAAATATCCGAACGATCGGGACAACCGAGCCTTCGTTCCCAGCTTTGGCCATTTTCCTTTTATCACGGTAATCGAACTCGAACCACCTCGATGACACGTGCGCACATATGAAATAATTAAGAAGAACACTTGCGATCTTGCGAGGAGATCAAGGCTAGTGTCCGTTATTTTTTGGTCCTCCGTGATCACCACGATCTTCTGCAATTCGCATAATCAGGTACAAAAATATTAATGTCGGTCGTTTCGCTTCAAAATGCAAATAAGTAAGTTGTCGTATCTCCCCTAAGTGACGGGACGACGCTGTCTTTGAACGAGACGTAGGAACGAGAAGAGGTGAAAGGGGCGTTGAAGGGTTGCGATCGGCAACCATACAACTGCGCGCGCGTGTCCGAAGTAAAACGGGACGCTGTCTCTCCTTCCTTTCGAAGCGTCTCTCGAGGAGCTTCTTCCTGCTTTCCTTCCGTGTACGCTCTTGAACGAGTGTGTCGATAACTCGAAACTGTCAATCACAAGAAGGAGGTATTCCGATTGACTCACGTCACTGGACACTGCCCTCCCCCTGGAAAATCAACTTTCCGAACCTTGTTAAGTAATCTTCGCTTCAATTCACCATCGGTACATGGAGAGGGCGGCGAGAGGAATCGAAGAATGCAAACCTTTCGTACATTCGATAAATTAGTAACATAATCGTTCCGTAACTCGATTTAACACTCAAATAGAAACGCAAAACTCTTGGTGCGAGGATGTTCATGAAGATCGCGAAAAATGTACACAAATCTTCCGTGCATGCAAACAGTTGAAGTAAATCGTTCTACGACTCGACCGTATTCGATGCACACTCAAACGGAAACGAAAAAGTCGACGATCCGAGGCGTGCCGCGGACACGACCGCGACGTATCTGACGTCACTGATCACAATTGGCGGTCTTCGTCTTCTATGGATTAGGTCGCACGAGAATCCAGCAGCGAGCCACCGCATCCTCGTCCCCGGGTCGAGCCGAACAACAACACTCGAAGAAGAGGCGAAACGAAAAACGACGCCGCACGCCGCAAACGGGTACAATGATGCTGGTTGGTCGTCGTCGCGGTCGTCCGACGACGACCGTCTGCACGGCTGCCTTCTTCACCCTCGTCTTCGTGACAGAGACTCGGGTTTAGAGGCGAGAGTCCGTCCGCCGTGGGATGCGAAACGAGAATCAATACGCGTGTTGCCGCCACCCCCTTGGCGTGTGCGAGCGGGACCACCCTTGAAAGCAGAGCTTTTCCTGCCTGCCACCCCTACAGCTACCCCGACGCGACGACCATCACCACCGTACGCCACACCGTCGACGATAACGACGCCGACGAGGATGACGACCGCGTTCGGCGCGTGCGCCAATCTCCGGAATATAAAGTCCCACCACCCCTAACAGCGCAACCCCTTTCTCGGGTTGCCTCTTTCTCGCTTAGCCTCCTACGCGACGATCGAAACCGAGTTTTCGTCTGGTCAGCTGATCAACCCGAATAAGAGGTAACCCTTTCTTTGCTGCACATCAGTTTTTAATTGATTAGGTCCAAGTAATTGAAAAACACGTAAGGTTTCGATTGACAACATTTAAACATTTAAGTGGGTATCGTTTCGATATTTATCGTACTACTAGAAATTTGATTTGTTGCTAAGCGAGGAAAGTCACACTATCTGTATGTGTGTACGATGCTTAAACAAAGTAATATCTTGATCGACTCAGCATGTTTAATATTTCAATCTTAATTGGGGTAAATATTAATAGGGTTCAGATAAAAATAACATAGACATGCTTTATCGATATCTGCACACACTTTGTTTTAGTAATTATCGCAGTCGTATTACGTAAGATTAAAATGGCAGATGTGAGGCGGTTAAAGATAAAAATGGAAAGATGCTAGGTGCCAATCTGAAGATTTGTTACAAAAGGAATGACTAAGAAATGTTAGACGGAGCGAAAGTAATTAAAAGGCACGATCGTTAGGCGATACTTTTTTCGCATGATCGAATGGACAGGGAAGCCATCCACGTTAGTGTAGCTGAAACGGACGAAGCGCAGACTGCCTACACTGTCGTGTGCGTGTACCGAGCACACAGATGCGCTCGTGCTGCATTCACTCTTTTGTCGCAGTCGATTGGTGACCGAGGGATCGCTGACCACCCGCCGTCGCGATCTATTCCGATAGTTTTCCGAGATATTATTTTCAACCGAATTGATTTTAGAGAACGTGAGAATTTAAACTCATTGGATACATAAAACTTTATTTGCCCCTATGCCTTCCTTCTTCATCATTTTTTCCAGTTGATGTCAGGAAATTTTACGCCTGTTTTCAAGTCAATAGACTCGCCTTAGTTTAAATGAACGAGATAAGATTATAGTAATTGATAGCTATTGATTGTTACAGCATTTATGTACAGCCACATTGAAAATATCATCTAAATGTTGAGTCACAGTTTTTATAGAATATCAAGTATCTGTACTTCAATTTCCGTTTTTTATTTATAAACTATATCTACCTCCTTTTCAATTTGACCATCCTTGTGCGCCACTTCTGATCTCTGTTTTTGTTGATGTTGTTGCTGTTGATGCTCTTTCTTCGTGATGATCGGTAGCGCAAACCTGCGTACTTGCTGCACCCTAGCGCGAAGCGGAATATCCGCTTCCTGTCTTCGCCTCGTATCCGAGGCTGTCCTCGATAATTTCGTCGCAGGTTTCTTCGTCACGACGCCCGTGTTTCCCGTCGAATTCCTTGTCGCCTCTCCACGGTTCAACGGAGACCCCCTTTTTTTCATTTTCGTTATCATTTTTAACTGTCGTCATTGCTAGCGAATTTTGTTACGGTTTTGTGATGTGACGAGTTCGATGATGGGGACGATTTTTTAAAGGAATGAAATAAAAGTAGCATTGAGAAATGTAAGAAAGACGAACTAAGATAATGTACAAGGCAGTTCGAATTGTTATCCAGGAAGATTGTTTGCGTCTAAGTAAATAATGTACGATGGAATTGTTTCGATAATGAGTGGAGGTGACAAATTTATGATGAGGATAACACTTTGCAAATATAACAAAATAAATCAAATTCTTTATAAAGGGCGATCGTACGATAAGAATAGTTATTAAAATGTACGCTATAAGACAAATTTTAAGAAGATACGGCACCTTGACCCTTTCAGAAAAATATAACTGATAAAGATGGTTTTCGTCGAGTCATCATTCAGAACTTTTCATTTCTTTAGAAAATAAGTTTCAAAGAGTTTCGTGCTAAATTTCTTTAGATACTCTTTCACATAAAACGCAACCTTCCTAGTTTCACTTAAACAGCGTTTAATGTGAAAAGGCGGGGAATAATGAGGTCAACGCGTCGCGATCATGAAAGGGAATGATATATCTCGTTTCGATGATGACGATTGTAATGATGATGATGAGGATGATGATGATGATGATGATGAGAAGAGAGTGAAGAAAACGTTACCCCTCGGCCTCGTCATCTGTCACGTTACGTAGCAGGTCCTCGTGTTCCCTGTACCTCGTGTCGCTGTATCGAATCTCCTGCTCGAAATCCGAGCTGATCTCCAACTGACGGGTTCTCGCCGCGATAGTGCCCATTTCGATGGCCTTGACCTGCTGCTCCAATCGTTGAAGCATGTCCGTGCTCTCTATGCCCGAACCCTTCCTCTGCTTCAATATCAAATCCAAATTTGCATTTGGAATATTCGCGTCGCTACTCGAGTCCTCGTTCTCTATGATCGGTTGCACGATCTTCGAGTCTTTGAAAGCCTTCAACTTCTCCTCGAAGTTCACGTCGATCGGCAAAGTTGGCGAAGTTTTCCTCGACACCTGCGGCGCCGCGTCTTTCGTTTGTCGAAAACGCTCGCCCGACTTCTTTTTTTCCACCACGCGCAAGCCGCGTTCGGATTCTACCAACTCCCATTGCTTCAGGTCCTCCATGGGCGTGCGTAATTTTCCGGTGGGCGACGTGGGAGTCGTCGGTTCCTTATTCGGAGTTTTGAATCCGGAAACTTGCGTCCCAAAGCTCTTCCGGCTGATTGGTGATCGGATCGAGCTTCTGCCCGGCTGCGTCCGCGAGAGCAGCTTCTCTCGGTCCTCCATTCTTCGAAGAAAATCGATTGAGAATTAGATTTGTTTCCTTGGGGCGTCGCGTCGGTTTCGGTCGTCTTCAGCGTAGATTCTTCATTGACCGAGCAGAATGGCGGACACCTCGACGGCTCGAATTCTCTGTTAGAAAAACATGCGTTATCCTCGTTAAGGATCCTCTGGTTGCTTCACTGTACGAAGATCTTCGTCGATGAATGGACGATTATACCACTCTCGGCACGTTTTCACATTTATCATATACCCAAAACCTGAGGCACGAGACACGATTCCAGTCGGACTATGTCCGTTGTAGTTCTATGTTACACCTTTCTCTCACTCTCTTTTGGCAACAATGACATAGATTCGTATGTGTGTAATGAATCGACAAGCAGTAAGCAGCGACGCGTACAGGTACAGCACACTTTGACGGGCTACACGAAAGCTCTTTCCGCGGATTCTTTTTCGCGATTCAAACCGAACTTTTTGAATCAGGGACAAGCGATTTCTATTATCTCTCGAGAGAGATTAAAGCGGAATGCTAAAAGGAAACGGTTGTAAAGAGCGAGATTCCTCTGGGCAAATGCCTGAGATATTTCTCGAATCGTCAACGAAACGAGAGAATACAGACGGAATCGCGGCGAAGAGAATAAAAACGAAGTGAAAATAATGAAAAAGTAAAGACGGGAGAAGGACGATGTTACCGTGGCTGATAAAAACGTGCCACGCACGCGTATTTCCAAGGTGTTGATTCGTCGAACTTCGAGTCTTATTTTTTCAGTTTATCGCTTATCAATCTCGCTACTCGCGAGCAGTCCATTTCGATTCCGATGAAACGATCATTGAGCAAACTGTTCTCAAATCGATTCACACCTTCGCGAGCAAATAATTGTCGAGCTCAAATTCGAGCTAGAATGCTCGTTTTTCCGCTTGGATAAAATTCATTGGTTATTTTGCGGTTGTTCGTCCGGTAATGCGATAAAAGGGTGGCCGCGTTCGATGAAGAAGTTGGAACCGTACCGAGCACAGGTTTGCCGACGCGATAAGAGCCACGGGCTCCTTCCATCGCAATAATCTTGCGGTTGACCTCGACGGTGTGCAACGATAGGTAGTCACGGTACCGATTTCTGCGACGGAGAGGCGGAGAAATCGTCTGGGTGGCGCTTTACCAGATCGAATCGACTGTTTCCGATACGCAGAAACTATTAGAAATCTAGTTTGAATTAATCGTTTATTGTTATGTTCAAACGACTCTGAACGTCGGTTCACACAAAAATCTTGTCCAAGCGGTAATAGTCTCTTTCGTTTGTTCGATGGTTATCCAGACTGAACGGAAATTAACGTTCTTGTTCACTTTAAGCGCACCTCTACCTGAACAATGAACAGGAACTTTTCATTTCTCGGGCGATCGTCCGATTCCAGGGATTACGTCCATTGCGACACTTCGACGAACGAAACGCGGGTCGATCGACCGCGAAAGGAAGACGAGGCCGAAGAAATGATCGCGAGTTTGGACGGGAATGGTCGGTTACGAAGAACTGGGTTCATTTTCCCTGCGTGATAAGCGCTTCACCGGCCAACTCGACTTCGTTAGACCGTTATCAGTGGAGTAGATGCTGATAAGCGATAGCGTCAGTTCGGATTCCGGCGACTTCGGTGAGAAAAATAAATTTAACGACTACGGCGTTGCTATTGTTTCGATACCGCGCGACTTTAAAGAAAAATTAAATATACAGAATAAATTATAAACTCTCCATGTGATGCATAAAACTGCATAAAATATCAAAAGTGAGTGCACACTGTAAAAGTTTCTGATATGCATTTTTTAATTGGCTACCGCAAACACAAGCTGGATAAGAATCTATAGTCTAAATACAATAAGATTTCACTTATCCTATGACCATTTCATGCTCCTTTTACTACTACTGCAAATTAAAACCTGTACTGTAGTCAATTAAGAAAATAAATATCAGAAATTTTTGTACACACTCACTTTTGATAATCTATGTATCAAATGCTTCGTTTCTACTTTCTGAACCTTCAATATTTTTTTATAAATCCACAGTCTAGCTATTACCTTACAGACTGTACATCGAGCTGATCGCAGATTGCGCGTATCGCCCAGCAATAAAAAATGTCGCGGTCGGGGGATCTCAGAGCACAAAGCCCGAACCGCAAAACTCGATCATTGGACTCGCCGTTCGACGATGCGATGGATCTTTCGTTATGATGCTCCAGTGTGCGAGAGCGAGCCGGCAAAATTAGAAACTCTTCGCGTTTCAAGTGTTTTTGGAACGTGGCCAAAGATTTTGTGGCACGTCGACGCGTAACCGAGAATCTCCTCCGTTTCAGCCTCGCTTCGGAGGTTCCCGCGTCCTTGTTTGGGAAAAAAGCCCGTTCTTTAAGACCGTACCGTAATCAACGATAAGATATGTACATCCGTTATTGATATACGTTCGACGATCGAACGGAAAGGGTGTTATTATCACCATTCTTGGTGTGCACGTTTCTTCCTTGGCTCGGCCACATGGCATCGCACTTCGAATTACGACGCAAAATGATATCACCGCAATTTGTGAAAGCGTAATAAAGAAAGGGTTGACGTAAAAGAATTAAAAAAATCGGGCTGGGTGTCGGATTGTGTTGCGTTGGAACGCGGTAGCCGTAAACCTGGTTGGTCCCAGTTAGGAATCGAACAGGTGGCCAGCAAGATTGACCTCGGGGAAAAATATACTAATCGTACACATGCTTCACCCACGTGAATTCACGCGCGCTCGCCATATGACAACTTGGAATCGGAATTCACGGTTACTCCACGTAGTTGAAAGCTGAAGTTTACGCACTGATTTTCGTCAACGCACCGATCTTATTTCCATATTACTTAAGAACGAAACGATTGGTAGAAGAAAAACCGCGTAGACCGTTGTTAGTCACTGTCGTGCTAATTATTTTGTTCACCGTCCTCGGCAAACATGGAATTACACGCGTGTTATGTAAACCGTTAACGCCGAACTGCCTTTCCGCCTATTCTCCATCGATTCCTCCCTCCCCGTTCGCTGTTTCTCTTTTAATCAAGCGATAAGCGCATCACGCTGTTCGCATCGCTGCTGCATACTTGAACGACTATGCGAAACGAAACGCGTATACATACATATAAAAAACGTCACGTTACCTAGTCGTTCAGCACTCGCACGCTCGTTTCACTGTGCGGCCGAAAACAAAGAAAATCACGTAAAATATCGTGGAACCCGCGCGGCCGACGATTCGCCACTGAAACTCGCCTCGCGTCGAGCGGTCTCACCGATTCCCGATGAGATCGCATCCGGTCGGTGGTCGACACATCGCCGCCGCCGCCGCCGCCGTGCCGCGCCGCGCCGTGGCCAAGAGCCACGACGCGAAAAACCTCTCGCTAGCGCGAGCGAGCACGAGCGAGTACACGCCAATTGCGATCAACTGTGCGCGACCGTCGAAAGCCGCGTTCATGACTCACGCCGAGAGGCTCGTACAACCGACCGGCGACCACCGATCCGTTTCTTTTCTACTTGCCTCTCTTTCACTGTGTGCGACCATCTCCGTCTTTCTTGTATCTTTCTTTTTCTATCTCGAGCATTGCCACCTCTATTCTGAGCTCAAAGTGCAAGTGCCGATACGCCAGGTCTGTAGGCGACTGTCTCTGGTACCCGTGCCGCCATCTTTTCAACGCGTTGACTATTAAACGAATGACCTTGAGAGATCGGCTCGGTGATCGCTGCCAAATGATTTTCATCGTTCGCTTTCCATTAGACGCGCACTAATTGACATCGGAAGCGTTGCGGAGTGTTGGCCGATCGTAAATTCGTGAAACTTGCACACGCATTACGCTTCGACGCCCACGCTTCACGCCGAAGAACGAAAGCTGAATAATTGCGGCGAACCGCCTTGGCGTGATTCGGACATCCAAGAAAACAGTAGTACACATTTTACACTCGTTTTCTATGTACTTAACATAAGAATAGTTGAGGTCTGCACGTTTGTTGTTCTCTCTCTCACACGAAATATCGAGGGATATCGTCAGTTCTAATTTATGCGAATTTTACAAATAGTGAATATATAAACGACGGTATACATATACATGACGGTGTCGAATCGTAGACTTGGAGTCAGACACGAATAACGAGAAACGTTTCACTGATTTTCGTTCCAGTTTCTTAGTCATTAGTTAGTCACGAAATAGCGCGACCTTCACGCTCTGGAATTTCTTCGTGGCAGTGTCTACTAGATACTAAGAATTTCCCAAATCTTAGTTTAACAAATACAATAAAATTAATAATACAATAAAATTAAATTATGATTTTTTAGACAAATTAAAGCAGTTATGCATAGGAAATAATATATTTTACATTATTAAGTAATTATGTGAACATACATATAATCCACCGTGTTATTTGATTTAGTAATGTCACATTCACGAACCATTATAACAGATCTTCATCTATTTTTTGACCAAGTCGATAATTCTACCGAATCATCAATATCCGAGAACAACGTTCATATATTTTTGTATTCGGTAAAACTATTGAAATCGGGTTTATCTGTTTCGTATTTAAGTGTAGTAATTTATTGTGAAAATAACAAAATTCTCATTAATAAATGAATGGAAACAAATCTTGACATTTTTATTTCGCGATTCTTAACTAAGTGAACACTTATTTCATTCGAAAGAAAATGACCAGGATACGGAAGAATGCTGTCTACATCCACCTATTGGGAATTCTCCTACCAGGAACGAACGACGTGAATCACGAGCTAAGTGTCTTGTCTCGAGTAGAGAAAAAATAACAAAGGAATCGGATTGTTCCTAATATTAGCAAATCTTGATTTTCTTTTTCCGTTCCCTTTATCTGGATCGATTTTATTTGGGCGAATTTCTTAATCGTTTTTTATGCCCCGATAAAAGAACAGCGGCTTATCAAGCCTGAATTCGGAGACGGAAAAAATTATTCGTCCAGTTTTTTTTAAATACCATCCAGGATATTCATTGTGCTCAGTGATTCATCTTCACGTACGGTACGTTGTTCTGCAACGTACGCAGTTCCGAAGTTCTATTAATTGATGATGGATATTGTACATAATTAAACAGTGTAGACGTGGAAACGTTTCGCGTGATTTACTCGTCTGGAAGTCTTGATGAATTCGAGTCGCAGACCGTGGGCGCCTTTAGTCGGAACCACCGGCGCCTACGTGTTTGCCAAGCCTTTGCCAACACTCGTTACTTTCGTGTTGCGATAAAAGCCCGAGATAACTCGCCGGTTTCGTTCCTTTTCCTTTGAAGGAAATGTTCGGCGAAAGAAAAGGAAAGAAGGAAGAAAAGCACAGGGGCTTCGAAGTGACAGCAGAATTTTATGACACGTCGGGTTGATTCGCATTGACTCCGGTGTTCGAATGGAAAAAACTGGAACGATACGAATCTCCCGACGTTAATTGTTGTACACCGACGAGATAACGCGTGACACCGGGACGAATCAGGAAATGAGTTATGTTCTATCGTTACTAATTGTTTATCGTGCACGCGCGACCCACGCTTGGCTTCCAGTTACACGAGCCTAGCGAATGTTAAAACTAGTTTACATAATAGCTTGTTAATCGCTATTCTTGTACGTAGTTGCGAATTGAAAGACGAGATCCGAACAGTTTTCGAATTAAATTGTCACTAAATGCTCGCTTTAACCTCGTGCGCCTTCAATTCTTTTTGTAAACGAAGAATATGTTTTACTAATTTGCGTCAATAGTTTCTCAGTTACCGATATGAAACAACCAGCTGGAGCAGCACTGCATGACATATTATGATAGATGCAGTTTTTCGATTCAAGGTTTTTACGAACACTACTTTAAAATTCTTTGAAACGAATGAACAAAAATTGCCATATTTATTGATACCGTCGAAAGAAGCTTATAAGAATGGACTATGATTTATTAAAATATAAGAATTTGTTAATCTAATGAACTCCATCTAATATAAAATTCATATAATGAAATAAAAAAATAATCATCTTATAATGAAATAAAAAAATAATTATATATTTTTTATTATACTGTGGGTTGTAAAACTTTAAAGAAGTCCATGATTTCTTATACATAATCGTACAAGCGGGGAAGGATTGTTATTTATAAAGATGAGCAACACAGTTTTCTTCAATCCCGATTAACGTTTGATTCACGCTAAACGGTAAGCACAACTGGTTGCAATAAACCGGTTAAAAAAGGAAGGATTATTATCTATTACCCTTGAACTCGACTGATTTTTCTTCAACACAAATTCTTTCGTTTCTGCTCGACTGGCTTACGCAAATATTTATCTTTCAATGTACGTCCCAACGTACATGAGTATGCATAGCTCAATACGGTGGCTTCATCATTACCCGATAACCATGCAACTTTTAAACCGAACGCGAAACGATAAAAAATTCTGTAGCGGTTGCATTGGGATGCAATGCAAGTGGAATGAATGCAGTTGGCGATTGACTTAGAAATTTCCAAGTAGCAAGTTTTTACATTTAAAGAACAGTATTTCAAACTATAACTTTGTATAATTTCCATTATTTATAAAAACTACTGTAAAACCAACATAAATTTTATTATACGTAGTATTTAATTCTTACATTCCTGTATCGCGTTATAGGCGATAAAAATGATATCTTTTAAATAGCTCGTTGTGTTTCATCAAATAACAATAACAGAGCCACTGAGTGCTCATTCTTTGCCTCTGATATCATTG